GGGAGAAGAAGATTCAGAGTGGAAAGAGGAAGAGGGCTGAGAGCCAGATCCATAGGATTGGCCAGAGATGTTTTGGCCATCAGAAGACATTATGTTGCCGGTTAAAAAAGGGAAGATGAAAAATAAAAGACTAGGAGGACTGGAGAACTTACTTGGCAGAAGGCTAGAGAGAGAAAGTAGACCAGTTAAAAGTTGAAGATCGAAGAAGAGAAGTGAAGAAATGAGATGGGTTGGAGGAGTATTTATAGGAGAGGGAGGCGGTTTGGAACTCGAGGCGACAGGTGGAAGAAGGACAGCTTGACACGTGGAAGAGGTAATGATTAGGGGGGAAAATTTTGAATTTTGAATGGTAAGGTGGAAGGTTTTGGAGGGAAAATCCAAAACTAAAAGGCCAGGCTCAACGTTTGGACTCCCACAAATCCAAACGGACAGGTCATGCAGCGTGGTCTACAAATCCAAAAGTGCCAGGTCTGGTATGAAGACGGTGAATCCAAGAAATGGGCAGGTCCCCATGGAAAGGTCATGGGAATGGCTTGACAATTTCAAAGAAGGACAGGACAGGTCTTGAAAGAGAAAGGTTTGATAATTAAGTGACGGGTCTAAAAAGGACAGGTCAACAAAAAAGCCAGGTCGACGAGAGTGACTTGATGATCCCAAAGAAGGACAGGTCCTAGAGGGAAAGGTTTGATGGTTCAAAAAGACAGGTCAATGGGAATGACTTGATGATCCCAAAGATAGACAGGTCTCAGAGGGAAAGGCTCGATGATTCAAAAGGACAGGTCATGAGAGAGACTAGGCGACAAAAAAGGACTGGTCAGCAGGGGTGATTTGATGATTTCAAAGTATGATAGGTCAGCATAAGTATACTTCCCGCCCATGATGATTTCCTCACAAGGCCGGTAAGTGGAGGACTTCTTGATGGGTATATCTTTATACCCGACCCGGATAACCAAAAGGGACAGGTCAAAATATGACCGGTCACTTTTGTCAATCACCAAATGAGGTCAACTCTTCGATTGGGACGGGTCAAAAGTTGACCAGTCACTTCCACTAAAAAAGTGACCGGTCACATTTTGGGCGATAGCCAAAATATCACCTAATGTTGTGGAGAATTCTAAAAGACCAAAGAGACGGGTTGAGCGCAAGAAATGACCGGGTAACCTTTCAGAAAAGGTGACCGGTCATATCACTTTACTTGGCTAACATTGGTTCAGTCTCTTAGGCATGAGGAACCGCGTCAGTGGTCAAGGGGACACCCCGCCGCTCATCCATCACGAGGCATACAGTGAAAGGGATGTTTGTCATTTTGCAGGGTTGATTGGATTGAGAATATCCATTTTAGTCTTTGATTGAACAGTGCTTTTTGGTTGTATTGGTAGCAAGTCCATGATTGTACAGTGCTCCCATTATCTACAGTGACCTTCCCACGAGCTTCCTATTTTGTCCATGGATGAACAGGGGAAGGTCACAAATCCTCCTCTATAAATATGATGATATTGGATAGAGGAGGGGGGCCAATTTTTTCTCTCACTAAAAGTTCACTCTTGAGATAGAGTAAGAAATATAATTCGGACTGAGGAGTTTTACCCGGTCTAGGTCATACTTTGTGTACTTGTTGTGTGTTTTATATTACGGGTCGAGTGTGTCCAGGTCAAACCCGGTTAACCCATCCCGCTATATTTACACCATCAGTTATCAACTAAGTACCAAAATAGTATCGAAAATAGTTAAAGTTTGACCATGTAAATAATCAATACACAATATAAATTGTGACGGAGGAAGTATGTAATTTGCTTTCAAAAATAATAAATTCAGAGAATGTATTTTAAAAATAATAATTTAAAATAAAATACTAATATTGTAGTTAATAGCTCCCTCCATCCATATTAAATTACGCCCTTTTGACAAAAAAGGTAAAATAGTATCATTTGTGTAGACAAGAGAAAATAATGGGGCACCATATAGTTCTTTCTTTATATGGAAATTAGTATCACACTCAGTTGCACGGCTCGTATTGATGTTATAAATATTTATTAGTGTTATTCTCGAATGTTGGCTTTGACTCTTATTAATCATCATTGCATATGAAATAATCATAGAAAATTGTTTTCTTTGAAACTTGAATGACATTTTAAAATAAGATATATGACATATAATGTATGATGGATCTCATATGTCCAAGTATTTTATATCAGTTATGGAAGACCAATTTGACTGGAATGGATAGCCATTGTAGATGCAATGGCCAATTGTTCACATTGGCTATCTTTGAGGATTTCGTCTATTGCATCATCAATGGGCTGATTTTTTCACATGGTGGGTCAAACGACCATTGTAGGCTCAATATTTGTATTACAAAAGCATTGTTACATTATAAATTTGTATTGGTATCATTATAAAAAGATATAATATTTTTCATTTTTGTAAAACATGAATATCATATAAATTACAAATATCATTAAATAAAAGTTTTCACAATTTTTAAATAGTAAAGTGCATAAATAATTTACCCCCACTAATGAAGGACACTTATTCTAACAAATGACGTATAAATTAATCTGAATTTGTATTCCAAAAACATCATCTGATTTCCTTTCTATCCAAAATTGAAATTGATGAATCAAAAAAATTGAGAAGCAGGCTTGATGTATTCAAAACTCTCAACAAGAGCACCATTGATGGAATCTTGGGTCTAAGGTGTCTAGAAAAGAAGAATTTTGATAATAGTAGAGAAAAGTAAAGAAGAAGATGATGAATAATGGTATTGAGTGTAGTGCTGAATGTGAATTTTATTGTCTTTCTCCCTCTATCACGAGGGATATAAATAAGGGGATAGTAGGGTTAGGGTTTAGGCCCATATCATATACAGTAACTAATGGGTTGACCCTATAGACTGGAATGTCCAACTAATAATTAGTATACGATTAACATGTTGGTCCAACATATTGAACCGCCCCAATTAAATAAAAGTTTTCACAATTTTTAAATAGTAAAGTGCATAAATAATTTAGAGACGAAAGAAGTATATGTGGATCTATTTTG